GGAGGGAGGGGGGGGGTTGATTCCAAAGGATAAAGAGAGACTAAGGGACAGGTCTACAGTAATAACCTGTCGAGGGAATAGGAACGCTGAGAAGGACAAGCAGACAGAAAAACGGACAGACAGACAGATAGACTGACAGAAAGTTCGACAGAAAGAGGTAGCCGCAAGTTTCGGAATTGGTTTGATGAAATGGAACTAAAAGGAATGGTTGAAACGTACGCCAAAGCTGACGAGGGTAAGATGTTTTCTAACGTCGAAGACTTTTTCTGTCGTTTTAGCTGTCAGACCTCATACTGATTTAATGCAATAAAGCATGAGCACTATTCTGTTAAAACATTTAAAACTGAACAGTGCCCAACTTGATCCAAATCATTCAAGTGAATTCGTCACCTCGCTTCTCCTTGATTATTTTTAGCTTTATGCATCATGGAAAAATTATTTCCACAGCAACATGCTTAGGCGAGAAGGCCAAAAAAAAAAAAAAGATCAAACGATGAGTTTGTTTCTATCTAGCCCACTGATAAATGAACCCTTACATTCCTGAAAATTCAAAATAAAAACCAATTGTAATAAGAGGCCAAAACGGATTCTAATACGAAACAAAACTAAACAAGAACACTTTATCTTTTCATCGTGATACGTCTGACAAAATTTTTACTTAAAAAATGAAAAAAATGGAACTTTTAGAACGTGCTCATGCGACCTGTCACGTATTTTTTTTCTGCATTTGAGATCACAGTTTGCGTGACCGCAATGTCAGACAAGTCCCACTGAGCGCAGCACAAACGGGGAAGCTACAGTGGGAAGAGATATCTTTTATTTAAAGTAATACTCCAGCTACTTTAACAAAGAGCCGTTATCACGTAGCGTGTGGCAAACTCAGAACAGTTCAGAAGATAGGTAGGAAACTGTGATAAGAACTCGAACATTGCTTAGCGGCGAGTAAGCTTTGTATCGTCGGTTGTTTTGTGGTTATGCGCTGTTCACACAAACACGAGAAATGAAGCCGAGCAAGACAATATTTCTAAGTGCAGCAGGTCGGGGCAACTCTGGACACATTTCGCCGAGCAGTCGGCCTCCCTCCCTGAGTGATATTTCCTGCTCGCTGTGTGGAATTATTACACGGGAAGTTGCCAAAATTTTCTAAGATGCTAAAAATTTTCGCCGAGCGAAAAATGAGTCGCTGAGTCGATAACTCGTTCGGGGGGAAATTCAGGGAGGACTCAAGAGTGTCAGCAATAGCTCGGCGTGCAAAGTTGCAAACGTTGCCGAGTAACAGTGACACACTGATGAGCTCTGAAAGGTAGCCGAGTTAAATTTCCTACATGCCGTTTTAAATTATTGCACGGGGGTCTAAGTTACACAAGCACGGCGTGCAAAAGTTGACACGACGAGCATGTCTGTGCTGTGACACGGCGACCTTCGCGTCCCAACCATATAAACACACGGCCTACTGCCCATGCCTCATTCGCCACTCAGCTGCCGAACGATCCACATCTACGCTTATTATCTACAGAACGTGACTATGCCTCCGAAGAAGTCTACGCGAAGGGCTGCTGCTGCTGATGCTCTATCTTCTGCAGATACCAGACTGAACACACTAAATCCTTATTCATATGTGCCAAGCCCTGTGCTGTCCAGCCTGCCTTCATGAGCCTTCTGGATACTTCTGCTGCTGTTGCTGCTCCCAGTCCTGCTCCTGCTGCTTCTGAAGAAGAGCCCAGAATGTCTTCTCCTCCAAGATCTGCGTCTCCGGTGGTGGCATATTATGAGACACATTGAAGGAATGAGCACAACCATTTACCCCC